GAGGAGGAGATCGCTGGAGAGCCGTGATGAGGAGGGAGGAGGATGTCGTCGGAGAGCCGTGAGGAGGAGGAGGGAGTAGGAGGTCGTCGGAGAGCCGTGAGGAGGAGGGAGGGGCATGGAGGAGGGGAGGAGGAAGAGGAAGAAGAGGTAATATATATAGTGGTTGTGGCATTACAGACTTAGTAGTGGCGCACCATGGGTGTGGTGCGCCAGTACTAACTTTGTTTATTTTTTTGAATTTGGAAGGCGGGAAAATTACTAATGGCGCACCACACCCACGGTACGCCACTACTATTTTTTTTCGATTTCTTTGCCTCCAGATCTTAAAATCATCGTAACTTTTTTTTCTGTTAGGTTTTTTAGGATTCTGGAAAATCGATAACGGGCATAGCCAGTCAAATTCGGATGTAACTTTTTGAGTAGATGATTTTTCATATAAACAACTTTTTCATCGGAGGTCGTATGCAAAAGTTACGGCCATTTTACCGAAACACGGCGGCCTTTTGCAAAAAAAAAAAATCAAAATTCATGTTTGTTAATTTTCCTAACAACTAGAACACATAACACATGGGCATCTATTTTTTGAATTTTTTTAATCTTTTATCCAGACATAGCAATGGCGCACTACACCTAGGTGCGCCACTGCTATGTCGCCACTACTATGTAGCATAGCAGTGGCGCACCTAGGTGTGGTGCGCCATTGCGATTTGTTTTTGAAACTATGATGATTTTTATAGCAAATTCGGAAACTATACACCCTAATGCAGAAAAATGAAAAGTATCACCCCGTCGGCCTCCTGTTGGCCGAAGAGGGACTTTTCGGCCTACTGTTGGCCGAAGAGGGACTTTTCGGCCAACCGTTGGCCAAAAAGGACTTTCCGGCCAACCGTTGGCCAAAGAGTCCCTCTTCGGCCAACACCTGCTCTACTGTTTTAGAAAATTGATATCAATTAGGATTTTTAGTATTTTAATTTTATTCTTTTTGTATTAGATTAGAAATTTTATGAAGTTTCTGTAGATATCAAGTTTGACTAGATTTGAAAGTTTGAATTTGAATTCTTCATGAATTTGCTCAAATAACTAGATTGCCTATAATTTGAGCTAGGAGTACTTTTCCAAATGATTCTTTTTGCTACTGGTTCTTTCTGAATTTGTTTATCAGTAGTAATTAATTGGCGAATTTCATAATTATTTAAAATTAGGATTTTATGAAAATAGTCCTGTTTTAGTGTTTTATAGGTTTTATGATATTTCTTTTAATTTTAATTGCTTTAAAAAATTTCTTTAGTTTTTTGACATATTCTTTTTGTTTCTGTTTAGTTATCAGTAGCTATTTTATTTGTAGTTTTTGTATTTTATTTCTTTTATCCTACTAGAAAACTTGTTTTGAGCTTCATAGGAGTTTATATTTAAAAGTGCCTTGTAAATCCTGTACAACCATTGCCGTTTTATACATGAAAAAAAAATACTTTCCCGCAATCTTTTTCCCTCCTTTTTCTTTGCCGCCATTTTCTTTCCCGCCATTCTCTCCCGCCACACTAAGGAGTGCTGCATCGACGAAGGATGACGATGATGCCTTCCTGTGGAGTGTGAAACACCGTGTGAGAGAAGTCATAAGTGTGAAACACTCATCGATGATGATGACGAAGCTGCAAACACTTATGACTTCTCTCAGACAGTGTTTCACACTCCACCAGCAGCACCGACGCAGGAGACACAAGCCGTGTCAGACGATGTTATCTACGATCGTGGACACCATGAGGCTCGTTTTATAAGTTGAGAAGTGAAGATGGCGAGAAAGAAGATGGCAGGAGAGAATGGCGGGAAAGAAAATGGAGGGAGAGAATGGCGGGAAATAAAATGTAGGGAGAGAATGGCGTAAAAACCTAATTTTAAATCATCCTAAAATTCACAAATTAATTACTACTGGTAAACAAAGTCACAAAGAACTAGTAGCAAAAGGAATACTCCTAGCTCAAATTATAGGCAATCTCTAGTGATTTGAGAAAATTCATGATAATTCAAATTCAAACTTTCAAATCTAGTCAAACTTGATATCTACAGAAACTTCATAAAATTTCTAATCTAATGCAAAAAGAATCAAATAAAAATACTAAAAATGAGCAGGTGTTGGCCGAAGACGGACACTTTGGCCAATTGTTGGCCGAAAAGTACTTTTTGGCCAATGGTTGGCCGAAAAGTCCCTCTTCGGCCATCAGGAGGCCGAAAAGTCCCTTTTCGGCCAATAGGAGGCCGACAGGGTGATACTTTTGATTTTTCTCCATTAGGGTGTATAGTTTCCGAATTTGCTATAAAAATCATCACAGTTTCAAAAAAAATCCGCCATTGCTATGTCTGGTTGGGATGGGGGGGATGGACCCAAAAAAATAGCAATGACGCACTGCTCATGTGGTGCGCCATTAGTAAAAACATAGCAATGGCGCACCTGATTCTGGTGCGCCACTGCTATATAGCAGTGGCGCACCACCATCATGGTGTGCCATTAATGTCCATATTAGCTATAGCCATTTTTCCTATAGTGATTGGTTCGGTACGAGCAGGACTACGAGCACTTCTTCTCCTACAACCATCTTTCTTCTCTTCTAGATGAAATCGGCTCAGTGATAATGATATGAGACGAGTGTGGCTGCAACTCGTCTTCTCTTCTGATGACGATACTTTGCACCTGGCCTTTTGGTACGAGCACTGGTACAAGTGCTCGTACCATATGCTATCTTCTCGTTTGTTGCCTTAAGTTGTGTTCTTTTTCTTTCTTCCTAAAAATAACCCTACATATAATCTTCTAAGGCATTTCTCTTGCAATCATGTTTTACAGTTCTTTCTGTTTAAATCTCAAAATTGAACTAATAGCAGAGGAATTATTCTTTCTTCTTTTGACTTTTCTCAATGATT